AATGTAGAGCTCATTCCTAGTTTCATAGTAGGTAGGGTCAGAAGGGACCCAAGCAGATCATCAAGTCTGACCCCCTACCATGGGCAGGAAATAATGCTGGGGTCAAATGACCCTGGCTAGGTGTCTATCTAGCCTCCTTTTGAAGACCCCCCAGGGCAGGAGTGAGCACCACTTCCCTTGGAAGCTGGTTCCAGATCCTAGCTGCCCTGACTGTGGAGTAGTGCTTCCTGATGTCTAGCCTGAACCTACTCTCAATCAACTTGTGGCCATTATTCCTAGTTACTCCTGGAAGTGCCCAGGAGAACAGGGACTGTCCCATTCCCTGCAGGTCCCCCCTGGTAAGTTTATAGATGGCCACCAGGTCCCCCCTCAGCCTTCTCTTGGGGAGGCTAAACAGGTTCAGGTCCCATAGCCTCTTGTAGGGGCAGCAGGGGGCCTGCCCTGCTGCCCCCTGACCATGCGAGTGGCCCTCCTCTGGACCCTCTCAATGCTGTCCACATCCCTCCTGAAGTACGGTGCCCAGAACTGGATGCAGTACTCCAACTGCAGCCTGACCAGGGTCGCATAGAGGGGGAGGATCACCTCCTTGGACCTGCTCGTGATGCATCTGTGGATGCATGACAAGGTGTGATTAGCCTTACTGACCACGTCCTCATGTTAGCGGCCCATGTTCATCCTGGAATCAGTAATGACTCCAAGATCCCTTTCTGCCTGTGCATCGATAAGAAGAGAGTTCCCTAACCTATACATATGCTGCTGGTTCTTTCTCCCTAGGTGCAGTACCCTGTACTTGTCAGTATTGAATCCCATCCTATTTTCATCCGCCCACCCCTGTAACCTGTCCAGATCTAGTTGTAGCCTGTCCCTCCCTTCTTTCATGCCCACCTCTCCCTATATCTTAGTGTCATCCACGAATCTGAACAAGGTGCTTTTCATCCCCTTGCCCAAGTCGCTGATAAAGATGTTGAAGAGTACGGGCCCCGAGGACTGAGCGCTGGGGGACTCCACTGCCCACATCCCTCCAGGTCGAAAATGACCCGTCCACCACCACTCTCTAGGTGTAGCCCTCTAGCCAATTTGTGACCTATCTGACTGTAGGCATTGATGCCACAGTCACCTAATTTTTTAATGAGAATGTGGTGAGAGACAGTGTTGAAGGCCTTCCTAAAGTCTGGAAAGACCAGGTCCACTGCAACACCTGCGTCCAAGGATTTTGTGACCTGGTCATAAAAGGCAACCAGGTTGGTCCGACAGGATCTGCCTCTAATGAACTCATGCTAGTTGCCCCTAAGCATAATCTCCCCTGCTGACCCCTCGCAGATGTGTTCATGGATAATTTTCTCAAAGAGCTTCCCCAGGACCAAGATAAGACTAATGGGCCTATAGTTACCTGGGTCCTCCTTCCTCCCTTTTTTGAAAATGGGGACATTGGCCCTTTTCCAGTCTTCTGGCACCTGGCCAGAGCACCAAGAGTGCTTGTAAAGCCGTGCCCAGGATCCTGCAATGACCCCTGCCAATTCCCTCAGCACCCTGGGGTGGAGATCATCTGGACCTGCTAATTCAAACACGTCCAGCCCCACCAGAAGTTCCCTAACTAGGTTCCTCCCTGACCCTAGGCCTGGCTGCGCCTCTCCCGAGTCCATCCGGAATCCCAGTTAGTGGGGGATGTCCCGGTCCCTGCTCAGAAAAATGGGAGGCAAAGAATTTGTTAAAGAGGTCAGCTTTTTCGTCTGGTGCAACCACCAGATTGTGAAGCGTGTCCTGCAGGGGCCCCATGTTAACCAATGCCTTCTTTTTACTCCACATGTATTTAAAAAAGGACTTCTTGGTACCTTTGATCCTGGTTGCTAGTCCTAGTTCTGTCTCTGCCTTCCTAACAGCCCCCCTACAGTCTCGAGCAACGGTGGTATAGTCCTCCTTGGTGATAGCCCCTCCCTTCCACCAGGTGTATGTCTCCTTTTTAGCTTTCAGATGTTCCTGAATGCCTTTGGTGAGCCATGGGGGCTTTTGAGCACTCTCGCCCACTTTGATTCGTGTTGGGACTGTCACCCTTTGGGCTTGGAGGATCATCTCCTTAAGGAACAACCACTCGTCTTGGACTCCCAACTCTCTTATCCTCAGTGCCTCTCCCACTAATCTCCTTAACTCACTGAAATCGGCCCTCCTGAAGTCAAGAGCTACTGCCTTGCTGCAGGCCTTTGACACCCCGCGCTGGATAGTGAATTCCAGTAGGCGATGATCACTGAATCGCCCAGGTTCTTTGAGTAGCTTGCAGCCCTCAGGGCAAGCAGCCCCTGCAGGTCAGGTGAGACTCTCCCCACCACCTGCAGGGATTGCTCATCAGGACCTGTTATCTAATTTCCAAGGGAGCTTACAGTTACCGCTACTGCTGCTTCCTTGTTGCCTGTCCAGGTTCTGCCCTGTTCCCTTACGGAAGTAGAGCTACCTCTGCAACTAGGCACTCCTAGTCTTTGGCACCTAATTGACTGCCTTGTTGCAGCCAGTGAGCTGGCTGCAATTGTTCCTTTTTTCCTTAATGTGCAGCTCCCTGCCACAGGAACAGTGCTCCCTGGTTGCCTACTCCTTTGCAGCTAACCTTCATTCTGCTGCCTGGCCTGTGCCTGCCACAAATTTTCCCTTAAAGTAACAGGAGCATTAGTCTCCCTGTTATATGCCTATATTCTGCTTCAGTCCCACTGTGGGTGCCTAAGCCCTTTATTGGTTCTGGCCCATAGCTTTTTCAGTAGTCTCTTCCATGGGACCTTGTCAAAGGCCTTTTAAAAGTCTAAAAAACACAAAAATTCTCATTTAGATACTTCTTTACTGACATTCACATCAGTGATTATACTGGGCTGATCCAACTAATGGCTTAGAGTAGCTCCTTAAATCCATGATTCAGTGTTCCTTTCTCTGATGGAAAAAGAGGGTGTACAGCTAGAATCATACATTCTTGTCTTCTTTGCAAACCCATTAATTAAATGACAATAATGTCTTTCTATATCCAAAACCTAGTACAAGTAAATAACAGAGATAACTGCCTAATACATAATAATAAGGTACCAGCTACACTTTTTCAAGTTTTGGCCCACAGTACCAAGCAGTGTTGTTATATGGATGTAAGCGTGCATTGACTATGGGTTTCAAACAGGTTTAATGGTGTTACTGCAGCTTTACACCAGTGTAGTCGAAAAGAATTTGGCCCAGAAACATTGGTATATTGTGTTGAGAAGACAGGCCCTGGGTGTGTTTTTCGTGTTTCATCTGAAAGACTAGAGGCCAAATTCTGTTCTTAGTTACAATGGCATAATTATGTACTGTATTGCTTCCCTGTTATTGTCCTATTTTTGTCCTATAATGTTGCTTTTTCCCTGCCCTGTAGCTCACTCCTTGACACTTGGTTTTCTGAAGATCCCTGAATCCCATTTACATAACTCAAACAATCTCTTCTCCTCCAGATACCAGCCAGAGCTTTAACCATTCCAATGTTTCCACTCCTAGGTTTCTGGTCCCAAGAGGGCAGTAAGCAAATCCCTCTGGTATTTAGCTTTTCATATAGAAGTGGTGGGCTCAGTCCAATTCCTGGAAGTACACTACTGTTCATGTCTCAGAACCAAGAACAACTAGAAACTAATAGGCCATGCCTCTCCAGATATTTAAAAAGCATCCATCCCTGTAGGAACTGGTATTGCCCATCTGGTTCAGCACCATGGACAAGGATTTTAAGTGTCACACCTACCAAATGCTGTTCACTCCCAAGTTATGAGAGGCACATTCGGAATATAAATACAATAATAAATATGTATAATAACATGCTGTGTTGTACTTCTCTCAGGTGTAGAAGATGCTTCTAGTAGTTTTATATTTATTTTGTGCCCTTCCTATTCTAGCTTGTTCCAGTCCCGTGGGGGGAAGGAGGAAGGGAGGAGGGAAGAGCACCTAGAAGCTCAAGAGGAGAAAAAAAAACAACAAACAAACGAGAGAAGCAGAAAAGAAAAAACACAAAGCTATGTTTTGGCTTTAGGAGGAATGAGTGTGGCAGATATAGTGCAGCTGTTCTGGGCTGTTCCAGGCAGGCAGCCCTAGAGATCTATTTAGGGTACAGCAACTTCTCCTGGCCTTCATACAGGTTGCAGCAATGACTGGAAACTGCACAATGCTATGCACTCAGACCCCTGCAACATGACCACTGAAGCCCTAGCTCCTCTACACCAGGGCATGTGAAGAGGTACTTCTGGACAAAGCATTACCACTCATCCCCAAGGCCTCTGTGCTACCCCCAGGCAAGTTACACAGTTTAATGTCTCTTTACCCCATACTTGCATAGGAGGGCTGGAGTGGAGGCAGAGATCTCACCTGTGGCATAGGGGACATTTCACTACAGCACTGTGAAGCAGCATAAGCTTACTGTGCCCAGTGCTGTTTCATGATTGGTTTTAGACCATCTGAACCTCTGTTTAGTCTTTGACTAAAAATGTTTCTAGACATGGTGCTACCATATTTACTGACAAACCACACGAAACACCCAACATCAGCCCTTCAAAGTTTGGATACCCGTCTTAAGCAGGGAAGTTGATTTTTTCACTAGCGTAGAAGCAAAGAGAAGTTGTGCTACTAAATGGCTGCCCCTTCCCTCTGGGACAGCAAGCAGGACAAGCCAAGTCCACTGTTAACCAATTCAGTAATAGTTGCAAAATGATTAACAGCGGACTCCACACCTCCTGCTGCTGTCCCAGAGAGCAGAGGCAGTCATTTTGCAGCACAGCCTCTTCATAAAAAAAGCCAACTCTCTGTCAAGACTCTGGAAAAATATTTTTGTACATGGGCCTTCTAAAAACCAAGGCCCATGTCTTATTTGAGGGTGTGTAGTATGTGAGAAATACATTATTTATGCTTCCCGACAATCCTGCTGTAGAACCAAC